ACCAGAAGCATTCTTAGGTGAAGGACAGAATCCTGACTGGTTAGTCATATGCTGGTTGTCTCAGAATTAGATTATTTGAATATATTCATTATGGGTCAGCCCTTGAAGTCAGTCCAGTAATTGTAGGTGGGCCTGAATGTGGCAGCACACTGCTTCCTACCTTACAGCCCATTCTACTGTCATCAGGAAAGTACAAATTGTGCATCCTGCCTCAAATGCACTGAAGATTAATTTTGCATTTTCAGAAGAAGAACATATTAGATAAATTATCATTGGAACTGAAGCAAATCTTTTTCTTTTCATAATTTGGGAAAGAGCTTAGACATCGTTACTTATCCTTTGAATATCTTTGGATTTTAATGTTAAGTTTTCAGTATTTTATTTTTTTTTGTTTTTAATACTTATGGGTATTTTTATCTTTTTGTAAGCCTTGCAGACATGCCAGTAAAGTGCCGAACATGTAAAGCTTTAAGTTAATACAGTACTGTAGTATATAAGAGACACTTCGAAGAGACTTGTTTGGCAGGCTGAGGCAAAGAGGCAGTCCCGGAACCAGAGAAATCTGGGGGCTGGGCAGGAGACAGAATGAATCTGCCCTCAGTGTGGAAGGGATTGCCACTCTCGAATTGGCCTTTTTAGTCACACTAAATGCTGTTTTAGGACCTCTTTCCAGAGCACGATACCATAGTCTCTTGAGACTGAAGGATGCCAATGAATGAGTATATAAATAATTTATTTACAATGTATTAATATCTAGTTCAGATAAGCATTCAAGTCCTGGGCATATGTCTAACCCTGAAAGATCATGTTGTGGGATTTTCCTCCTGTCTTGCTTGGATAGTGATCTATCCCTGGATATAGCCACATGCCTGAAAGGGTGGCTAAGTGGTTAAGACACTGAGCTTGTCGATCAGAAAGATTGGCAGTTCGGCAGTTTGAATCCCTAGTACAGGTCTCCTGCATGAGCAGGGGGTTGGACTAGATGACCTCCAAGGTCCCTTTTAACTACTGTTGCTGTTACTGTTACTGTTAGATCCCACAAGACCATACTAGAGCCTTACCAAATTGGCTTCCAACTACAACTACATGTGGACAAACATTGGTCCAGACAGAGTGGAGTAAGCTCTGAAAATGATCCCACCCATGTTTGAGATGGTAGCCGAGCATAAGTATGTGATAATAAATATGGAATAGACTACCTGCAGACCACAGGAAGCCTCAAGATATTAAGGGTTTCAAAACCACATGACTAAATTTAGGTCATAGAATTCCAAGTAACGTAAGCACATTTTCCTGCCGTAATCCATAAACTGATTGAATGTAAACATAGGCTTGGGCTTTATATCATCTGCTTCCCAAATCTGCCTCGTCCTTTAAAAAAGTGTCTGGAAATCAAAGCTAATTTATTTTGGGTGGCATATATCACAGTATTTATTATCCCTTCAAATCAAGAACATTCTCCCTCATCAAAAGATGACCTGATCCTGATATTGAGGCAAATGCCCAGAGAAGGACAAATCCTGTATATTTTCCCTGGCATGTGCCCTTTCATTTCACAGGGTGCTTAATTAAACAGTAAATCAAACTATTTTATGGATTGTAACAAGACAGTTCAGGTTAATATTTTTGGTTTAATTTCTACACTACAGTCTTCAGAAGTCCTTAAGTTTTATTTTGTAACTATGAATGGGAATTTGTTTATTATCTTCCCATATTCCTTTGGCCTTGGTTGAAATTAGTTTTAACAAAATATTTTATTCTGCATTTATTAGGCAGCATAAATTTGGCATCATAAAAGTTGGACTCTTGATTTTTCTTTTGCTGGCAATGTAAGAAATTGTGAAGGTATGTTGTCCCTTTTATGATTTGGCCTTTCCTGTTAATGGTTTGGAATAATATTGTAATATACTGTATAACAATAGATCCACCGGTAAAAGTTTCATGTTAAAGACATGTTACTTTGAATTATATTAAATCTTATTATAATAAGACTTTGCATTATGTCATAAAACGTTTTATCCAAATTTCAATTTCAAGGGAGTTATGGGTCCCGGACTTTGGACACATTCTGTAAATTAGCCCATTTGAGGTTCATTGTTTCAAAATGTTTTGCCCTATGTGATGTATTGTTTTACCCAGTTAAATGTTACAGACATAAACTTTTTAGTGGTATATAGATGATAAAATGATGGTAATGTTATCAGAGTTTAAATGTATATATTTTTCTGATCAGCAGGTGGCAATAGTGGTATTGATATTCTGTAAGGCTTTGAATACTTTGAAAGGTGGTTCTGATAAATGCAGTTTAATTATAAAAATGTATCTCCTGCATTGATATTGTTTTTAAAGTATTATTTCCTTGGGAAATAAAGCTGAGAACAGATATGAAACAATAGAGCCAGGGGTGAAATCCAGCAGGTTCTGACAGATTCTGGAGAACCAGTAGAAGAAATTTTGAGTAGTTCAGACAATCGGCAAATATCACCTCTGGCTGGCCCCATGTGGTATTGGAGTGGGAATGGAGATTTTGCAATACCCTTCCCCCAGGAGTGGGGAGGGAATGGGAATTTTGCAGTATCCTTACCTTGGAGTGAAGTGGGAATGGAGATTTTGCAATATCCTTCCCTTGGAATGGGGTGGGAATGGAGGTTTTGCAGTATCCTTCCCCTGCCATGCCCACCAAGCCACACAATGCCCACCAAGCCACGCCCACAGAACCAGTAGTAAAAAAAATTGGATTTCACCACTGGCTAGAGCACACTGGCCAGGAAGTAGTGGACTTTCTTTCACTAAAAATAAAGGAATCCGGATGGCCATGTGCTGGGTACCTGGTACTTACGGGATTCCTGCATATGGCAGGAGTTGGTTCAGATTGACTCTCAAGGCTTTTTCAACACTATGACTTTGTGGGCATTATAGTTATTTATAAAATTGATTTGCCACCCATCGCATTTTGAAGCTATTTTGGGTAGCTAATAGTATTAAAACCATTAAAACTGTACGGTAAATATCCCTAAGATGATAAAAATGGAATTACAATAAAATAGAATTATAATTAAAAGATGGCAAAGGAAGGAGACAGATGCACAAAGGGTGGGGAGGTGGGATTTCCTCTTAATTCATCAACCATGGCCAGTGTGATGCCCATCCCCCCATTGGAGTCCTAAGTTAGGGGTGGGCAATTGTGACTCTTTTACAACCTGTGGACTTCAACTCCTAGAATTCCTGAGACAGCCAAGTTGTCCCTGTCCTAAGCCATGTGCCAGAGCCAAGTCTTCAGGCCCTTATGGAAGATCAGAAGGATAGGACCAGATTTCACTTCCAGGAATAAGATGTTCCAAAGGGCAGGAGCCACTGCAGAGAAGGCCCTTCTCCTGGACTCTGCCAGCTGAATTCCTTTACTGATGGGACATGCAGCATGCCTCCTCTGCCAGCATGGATGCAAAGGGACCAGTCCCATCTGGTAACATAGTTATACTGTAGGATTCTATCTTCTTCACTGCCTCTCATCAGATCAAAATACAACCATACAGTCTTAAAAAAATATTCGTTTGAAGTAGGATCTCTTCCTGTATACTACTATTTAAGCTATAAGATTACTGATAGAAGCCTTGCTCTGAATGTCTCACAAATGGGGATTCAGCACCTGTTCCCTCCAAGAACTTCCCTTTCAATAGTAGATCCTCAGCTCTGGAATAACCTGACCGCTAAAAGTCTTTATTACATTTGCAGTGCAATCAAAGATTTCAGAGTGATGCACACTGGTTTCATAATGGGCGGACTTGACTGGTTATAAAAGATCTGCCTTTTTAATGTGTATCACAAGCATTCCATACATGGACAGGAGGTCCTTGTTTAATGACACTAATTTGGATCAGAAACTGTCATTAAGCAATGTGGTCATAAATGTGGTCATAAATTGATAAATTGACTGTACTGCTTATTGATGGTATTTCTGGAAATCCTGGTTGTCATGGTTAAATGAGGACTGCATAGGTTGTTAAGCGAGGACCTCACATGATGCTGACTTCTGACTTTCTGACTGCTTCCTCATTGATGTTGCTTTTGGGAAGCTAGCAGGGAAATCCACAATTTTTTTTCTTGATGTTTTTAATCTCACTTTTATTACCTTATATGTAACTCAAGCTGGCGAACCTACCTAACATTCCTTCCTCCTCTTGTTTTTCCCACAATAACTCTGGGAGTTGGGTTGGGCTAAGAGAGAGTGACTAACCTGGCTTCTAGGTCACCATCTTAACCACTATACCAAACTGGGGCAAATCACAATCATGAGAACTTGGCATGCTGCAACAGCCACTCCTTCAGCGCTGTTGTAAGTTTGAATGGTCACTGTAGTCACTAAACAAGTAGTTGTTAAATGACCACCACCTGTAAAGAGAGATGGGAGTTCAGTTCCCTGGTTGTGCCCACGATTTGGAAGTAAGTAACCATCACTGTGGATCAATTCCTTCGGCTAAATTGAGGTTTTATGTTGCTTCAGTTCTGCTGCTTCTGCTTTTTAACTTTGTTTCTATTTGTGTTTTCCTTGTAGATTGCATGAGAGGGTTTAGCTACAGCATGTTTTATAGAAAGAAAAAAATTCCAAGGTTTTTCTTCTATCACAGGTATAAAAACCCAACCTTCTGATATACATGCAGTGACCATGTGTCCTTTATTTTAAAGGACAACCCTTTTTTTTCAGAAAGCTATTATCTAGATTTGTTTTTGAAAGACTCCGTTTTGTCCCTTTTTTATCATTTAACTTTCATCATAGAAATATTATTTAATCCACAGCCTTTCGTATTCATGTGAAAAATTTGGAAATTGAATTGTATTTTTAAAATAAATGTACGTATGCTCTTTGGTTTTAGTTCATTTTATTAAAATAACTGTTTTTAAATGGTTTTGCTGGTTTTGTTCTTGAATTTTCCTTTGTAAAATAAAATTAAAAATATAAACAATTTTTTAAAACAAGAAATATGAACCTCTTTCAGACTTGGTCCTTTTTCAGGTTTGTTCTTTATTTTTTTCCAAAAAAGTATGGTCACCGTAAGTATACAATATATCTAAAACCCTTCACACAATGGATATATACATATTAAAAACATTCCAAATCTGGGCTAACCCCATATCAATATTCTTAATTTTACACTCACATTACAAAATTTAGAAACCATAAACAGTTCAGGCACACTGTTAAAACACAGTATAAATTAAATTTGTTGTATAAATTCTGTACATAGGTAAATTAGCTTTTATGACTGACTGAAGGGTTTGATAACATAAAACATGAATAATGAGATTTTTCATCACTAACAGCTATCATTTACTTATGACCACATTGTTTTGAAATATTAATGAAAGGTGTGGCAAGCACATCACCATTATCATTTTATAAAGATAGGTAACATCACAAAGCCATAATGCTCTTTATTTTCAAGTAACCTTAACATTTGATTGCCAGAGTGACCAAATAAGAGTAAGAATTGAGATCAGTAATAGCAATTCTATGCTCTCAGTGATACATACATTCCAGTTTGACTTGAAATCTTAAGTCACAGTAGGAAGAGCTGCTTTTTACAAATTACAAAGCTTGGTTGGAATGGGGGAATGCTCCACATTATTTGGACTTAACACAGTTTGGAAACAGGTTGTAGTTTGGAATATGGATAATACTGTTTGGCATAGTGTTGTCTTGTTTTATAAAGGTCTTTGTGACACAATTTCCATTTGAGGGCTATATATATATATATAGAGAGAGAGAGGTCTATAGTTCCATTGATTAATTGATAATGGTGCTTACATCTGTTCATGAGACCTTGATTTTTCAATAGCAGTTTCTTGTAACATGCATGTATCTAAACATTGCTAAACAGTTTTGTTTTTAAAAGGCATTTTAACAATAAAAAAAGAAAAGCACTGTTAAGCAACTTTTAAGACTCTTGCCAAAATGATATAACCCTTGAAATGTTTAACCGGTGTTGCTAAGTTCAGTATAAAATAATTTATTTTTCCTCCTGCTTTGGTCTACCACTAGTATTATCAGTACCAAATTGATCTCATACTGCTGTAGGTAATATGTTACATGTTGATTTCCGCTGCTGAATTCAAAATACAAGCCCAATGTGTCCATAATGTCCCTAGGAATGTAGGATGACTCAAAATAAGATTTACCATTTAAGATAATGCAGTTTTTCTTTCATATATGACACGTGGGATTCTCTTGTTGAGAATCCTGCAGGGTTTGGGAAGCTCTGCTTTGCAAACCATTGTATGTAACATATGGAAAGCTATGAGCCTGGCAAAGGAAGTCAGCCTGGCAGAGCTACAGGTAGTCCTCTCTACTTACAACCATAATCCAGCCCAACATTTCCACTGCCAAGCAAGACAGTTGTTAAGTGAATTGTGCCCCCATTTTACACCCTTTTTGCCAGCTGTTAAGCAAATTGCTGCAGTTGTTAAGTGAATCATGAGTTTGTTAAGTGAATCTGGCTTTCCCCATTGACTTTGCTTGTCGGAAGCCAGTTGGAAAGCTTACAAGTGGTGATCACATGACCCTGGAACTGTCACAAATAGTTGTCAAGCGCCTGAATTTTGATCACGTGACCATGAGGATGCTGCAATGGTCACAGGTGTGAAAACTGGTCATAAATCACTTTTTTCAGTGCCTTGTAACTTCAAACAGTCACTAAACAAATGGTTATAAGTCACGGACTACCTGTATATCATTCATCCCTCTTCCTTCATAGGATTTTCATTCAAGGAGAATTGAATAGGACAAGTAACTAACTTTTTAAGCAGGGTAGGAGATAATGAGTGCCAGGCATTTCCATAGCACCAATTACGGTTTGGTATTTACAGATACAACATGCTGTATGGTTATTGTAGGTGGGCTTCAGTAATTATTTTATTAAATGAAAACTGGATCACATCAAGTTTTAAATCTAAAAATATCAGGCATTTTACACTGGAGCCACATTTACAGTCACATTTTAGTGACTGCTGCTAGTTATTAAAATTAGCTACTATAATAATAGTTAGATCAATGAAAGTTTTGTTTTGATCGTGCAGTTCATTCCTCACCTGTTTGAGAAGCAGATTGTTCCCATTCCATAGTGGTTCATGAAAATTATTCATTGCATAATTGATTCTTACTATACTTTTAGTGACAGCAGCACTGATCCCAATGTATTTGACTGTTGCTTAGGTTTTTGATCATCTCATTCTGAAAGGTTTTAAATGGAATTGAAGTAATTACATTCATCTCAAGGTTCTACTTTATGTAATGATGTGAATATGATCCCAGAATTACAGCTGAAAGAAATACTGTATTTTTCTATTAAATGAATAACAAATTGCATTTCCAATCTTAGGCAGGCTGCCTTTTTTAAAAAAATGCATTCAGTATGTCCATAACTCGGTATAAAAGGACTGCCTTGCTCATTGTATAAGGTCAGACCAGAGGCTCAGTTTCGGCAGAAGATTGAGGATTCTTTCATAAGCTTAGCAATTTTCAATATGCAGAGCTGAATCCATTTATAATAGTTTCTGATGAAATCTAGGTGAATTATTTGGAATATTTTCCTCCTGTGAAACCTAGTATGTACTATTAATTCAATAAATTGTGTTTTATGCTTTCTGAAAGAATGTGTACAATATATTCATATTATGTACCTGAAATACAGATTTGCTTTGTTTTTTACACATAGCCAAAGCACTGTTTGCAAATACAAATAATGAAATATTTGCAACCGATACTAGCTGCTATGAGAAATCAATCTCGGCATTTTAAAATACATATATTATTTTATCACTCTTATTTAAATAAGTAGAAATACATTTGATCACCATGATCTCAGAAAGTCAAATACGTCAATTGTTAAAATCTGGCTACAGCTAGAGTTACTTTCAGACAAAGGTGAATTAGTGTAATCCTTGGATTTATTTAGTAGCATTTAAGGAGAAAAAGCTGTGCTCTCTTCAGCAAAAGAAAACATCACTATTTTAAATTTTAAATACTTGGTCTGTTAAGTCTAAGTCATCTTTTAATAGATTATTATTAATGGGATAATCCCATTAGTATCAACTGTGGGATATTCAACAATTCAACCCTTTGTAAATGCAGGAAATCCTGCATGAGAATATCTTCCAGATGGGCTTCTGGTCTTAGTTCAAAGGAAGCCAGAATATTGCTGCCCCCTCCAGCTTTTTTGTTATGTTTATTATGTTTTTAAGATTGGTATTATCATTGTTTTGGGGTTTAATTAGGCATTTTGCACTTCTAAGTTACAATTTGCTTTGCAAATTTTCTCATGCAGAACAGTGAATTATCATTAAACTATTATAAAATGGCTCTTTTATCTTCTTCCTACCATTCAGTCAACATTCATCTTCCCTAACTTAAGCCCATTAGATTAATCCTGTCTTCTGGAGCAAAAGCGAAGCAGCATTGGCTTGTTTTCTACGTCTGGTATTTGGAAAATACCCATCCTATCTTTCTCATGTTTGTCTCATTTTTCTTAATTCTTATTCAGAAATATATACAGTACCAGACAAATCTGATTAGTCCCAAATAAGGAAATATTTATTCTTCTCACTAAACATTATGGTTCTATTAATGTTCATGTAACTGTTTTGTAGCTTTTTCACATTTGTTATAATCTGAAAACCTCATGTACCACTGCTAAACTAGATGTTGTCTACCATACATTAGTGTTCTGAGTTTGAGCACACCTGAAGGCAGACATTTGCATTGTGCTGTGCTGCAATTTATATGCTATTACTCAGCCTTCCATTACATCAATGGCATTTTGAATGGGTTACTGCTATGCGGTAACAGTTATTTATATTATGGATCATCTGGAAATAAGATTTCTCTGCATCTAAGAGATGGATCAATGGTTAAAGTATACTCCCCTTCTAGTATGGCACCTCACTCACAAGTTTCCTTGATTTAATGAAGAATTGATAAGAACTCAATGATTTTACAACTGTGAATTCATCTATGAATGTCATCGCCAGCAAATACTCAATTAGGATATTTTGCTACAAAATATGAAGAACTTTATCAGATTCTTTGCTGAAATCAAGATATATTATTTCTTGCTCTTTTTTCAATATCTATTCAAGCCAGTAACCCAATCCAAAAGAAACTATTCTGGATTTATTTTTGACCTATGTTCCTTTCTACATACAGTATTTTTAGACATATTTCTAACTTGTTTTCCTATCTTTTCTAGTTCCATCGCTGACCATTCTTACAGCTTGGATTTTCTTTTTTTCCTGTTTAAAATCTGAGACATCTACCTCACTATATTTTTGTGGCATTCCTCCATTTTTCAAAATTTTCTATAGAAAAGAGCTAACAAATAGAGGAAGAAATTTATCTTGCTTCTTATTCAGATGCTGAGATTGTCACTGAAACAGTCTGAATACATCTAGATCAGGGGAGTCAAACTGGTGGTCCATGGGCCAGATGCGTCATATGCAGGCTATGCCCACCCCAGCTCAGCAAATTGGAAAAACATCGCAAAACATCATGTGATGGCAACATCCATGATCCATTGACACCCATGATCTAGATAATTCAAATACTGTAGGTCTCTTGCAATAGCTACATGAAATAGCTACTACATTGTGACATAGTTGGTGCAGAAAGTGTTGAATTTGACACAAGTTCAGAATTGATCATACACAGTAACTATATATATATATATTCACTGATTGGTTGCCTGAGGAAAATGTGCGCATGCACAAAATTCTTTCTTAATCTGTCATAGGCCACAAATACCTAACTCACGTCCAGATAGGTAGTCAGATCAACATATATTTTTTTGAAAAATCATTCATTAGACTGGCATGAAGCACTTTTGTGCCAGCATTAGATATCGGCACACAGTGGAATAGATGTGATGGAAAGAAATAGGTTGTCAAGAAGGCTTGTGCAGATAAATAACTTAATTTATATTCCAGAAGCTAAGATTGCTTTACTCAAAGAAACAAAAAGGCTCCTTGTGAGAAGGAATATCATAGAATTTCATTGTAGACATATTCAGAAGCAAAAGCCTATCTAAATTAAGATTCAAATCTATCCAGTGCCTAATGACTGCTTTACTGTTCATGTAATGCCAGTTGTGTCTTTGACCAGCATGCTAAATTCTTGCATATGATGGAAGGCAAGAATTAACTCTCTAAATTCCACTGTGCAAGTGTTCTATGTTGGAACTGGATGAATCATGGAATGCATTTAACTGATGCATAAAATATGTACATTGGCACGAATCTCATCTATATATGTGGCATCAGATACCTGTAATTCTCAAGCCAAGCCCACACTGTGCTGGTTATTACTTGCACTTCGGACAATGTCCGAATCTGAATTATGAGTCTTTCTGATACAATTTTATTATGAAAACGTCCCTGTTATTAAAATGAAGGTTTGCACTTTACTGCAATTCTATACAGTAAGCTATGGATTTGTTTTACTTCCATTACTTATAAAAAGGCTATTTGAGTATAATTTGCAACCATTGCTTGCCCTCCCACTAAGCATTATGGCACACATATTAATGCCTGATTGTTCGCTTCCCATTACTCAACTTTCCCTGTAGCTCCTAAATCTGTAGCCCTAACGCATCTCGAAGTCAGGAATTCGAGAAAGAATGCCATAGCTGGGAGGCAGCTATCCATCGCCTACACAGAGGAACCATAAAATAAGGGACCCATCTTAGGAACATAGTATTGATAATTTCAGTGCAACAATTCATAGACTGTAAGACACACTAGAAATAAGAGCCCTACCATCACATGATTATCTTTTCCAAAATATTTCTTTTCTCTGATAAAGAGAAAATAAGTAGGTGAAAGCAACTGTTTGCATTCCTTAACAGATTTCCTTTCTGTTAATGATGCAAGATTCTTTAAAGACTGTCTCTCAACAGCCAACAGAACTAGAGAATATGCTACATGCTTTCTATCAAAGGGTCACACGAGAAGTCATCTGAAGAGCTTAGGAGTTCACTGTGAAGATCAAAGATGATTTGGACTCCAAACTGAAGGAGACATAACAAATTTTCACAGCTCGAATCTTTCAGTATTAAAAAAAGTAGCAGATGTGGGTTATTCATTTTAATATGGTTTTCTATTAGTCTTTTATTTCCTGATGTTGGAATATTCTTCACTAAGGCTGAGGATTGAGGAGGAAAAATAGTCCTTCTCTATGTAGTAGCATAACGTAATTGGCAACATCTACTTTTCACAGTTCTCTTTGAGTCATTGTCAGATACACCCTGCTTCTGAGATACAAACCCTGTACTCTTCCGTGGAGACTGTTTTGGATTGCAGCACCATGACTTTTCTTGCTTTTTCTTTTAGAAAGTCAAGTTTAAATAGCAATAAGGACTTGGTTCTGATAAAGCCAAGATAAAATCTCTACTGGCTTTTCACTGTAGGGTTACTGGCTGTAACAACACTGTGCAGTAAAAAGACTACTCACTTGAGTCTTTCTGATGAATCCAGTTAATCGCATTAAGGAGCCCCCCAACGCACACAAAAATAAAGAATAAATTTCTAAATCCCAAATAGGCATCTTTGGAATCCATAGTGCAAGTAGTTCTGCTGAGTTCGTTTCTTCTAGTATATTTATAGATTATTGTCTTCAAGTCTTTCCTAAGATAGTTGACCTACAAAACAAAAACATGAAAGCAGTAAAAAGAGTGGAAACAAATATAGCATAAAGTTATTTAGAATCAATTTGGCCTCACTCATCTAAGTGCCAGATTTATAAAGGAAAACAGAAATTCAAGGCAGGAATAGCAACAATCAGTGTACATTCTCATCATAATGGGCAGTTACATTACAAAGTCATGAGACCAAAGAAAGTTAGTTGAGAATAATTATGTATAAAAACTCACTTTTTATTATAACTATTTTCTCTGATCACATTATCTTAATACGTTATCATATGTGTCATCTTTGTAAGCTGCCCAGAGTCACTGAGAGTGAGTTGGGCGGCCATTTTTTAAAAAAATAATAAAAAAAATAAAAATAGCTTGAAGACAACAAGGCAAGTTCAAGAGAGAAATTTTTGCATATGGCAAAGGTTTTTCTTGGAATACCTATTGGGTTCACGAGGGTCCAGGAATTGTGACACTGCTTTGCAGCGTCCCCAGTTCCCTTGCTCCATTAAATAAATGTCTCTAAGAAGAAAATAAAACTCAGCAGCAGAAGGGATCTAGGGCTTTGAAAATTCAAATACTGCTTTTTCATAAACAAACAAACACACACACACACACACCACCGCCGCCACCACCACCACCACCATATCCAAACAGCTTCTATCTTGACCTTGTTCAAATAAGTTTTGAAAACTGGCCCCTTTCCTCAAGCCCTGAGATAGGGAAGTATTGGGCCCCTTCTGAGAATATGTGGATTACAATTTTATTTCTGCTGCTGGATGCCTATTGTTCTTCTGTATTATTATAAGTGTTTTTTTAATATAATGTGATGCCCAGAATAATTAGGAATTTAGATGGCCTTACAAAAGCAATAAAGGAATAAGTAAAATAGTCATTGCTTTGCAAACGTTCTGATCTTACCTCTCAAGTATCTTCGATAGACATTTTGCACATATTAAATAATTTTATTTTATTCATACTTGCCCATCTTGTTTATCAGATTGTGTATTATATTTATAATATGCTTTCCCTCTAGAACCTCAAAGAGGCATTTATAAAACTGCTCCCACCGTTTTTCCACAACTCCAAATCCTTGTGATATGGATTGCACTGACAGTGTGTCATCTACTGAGCTTCCATGGTTAGGGGTGGACCTGAACTGGAGTTTTCCTGGTCCTATTTCAACACCAATAAAGAAGGATATTTGTAGCTCAGGGTTGAAATGAGGGTCCTTGGTGCTCTCTGAGCCTGGTTGTTTTCTTGCAGACATTTCATTACTGAAATTAGGTAACATCATCAGTGCTAATAAGGAGTGGGGTTCGCACTAGCCACTAGTGACTAGAATATAAATTGAGAGCAAATCCCACTCCTTACTGGCATCCTTACTAATGATGCCACCTACTTTGGATCAGTAGTGAAATCCAATTTTTTTTACTACCAGTTCTGTGGGCGTGGCTTGGTGGGCGTGGTGTGGCTTGGTGGGCATGGCAGGGGAAGGATACTGCAAAATTTCATTCCCTCCCCACTCTTGGGGGAAGGATATTGCAAAATCTACATTCTCACCCCACTCTGAGGCCAGTCAGAGGTGGTATTTGCCGGTTCTCTGAACTACTCAAAATTTCCGGTACAGAAACTGTCAGAACCTGCTGGATTTCACCCCTGCTTTGGATAATGAAATGTCTGCAAGAACCAAGCTCAGGAAGCACCAAGTACCTCTTATTTAATTTAATTTAATTTAATTTCCAATTTATATACCGCCCTTCTCCCTGAGGACTCAGGGCGGTGTACAGCCAAGATAAAAAACATAGAATACAAATATTAAAACATTTAAAAATATATATAAATTATTTCAACACCTTAATTAATTCATCACTCTGGCTTTCAACTTTCCATTATGAATTTCAGGGACCAACTATATTAGGTTTTTTTTTTAATCTTCTGGCTTGTTATTGGAAATATCTTTTCTTATAGAAGGTTCAGTGTGAAAACAGCATTCTCCAGGATAAGGTAGTCCATTTGTGGCTCCAGCTACATAGACCTTAAATTTCTTTTTTTGTATTGTAGGAATTCTAATTGGACTTTCGATTATTGTTCTCGTGATCAATGAAAACTAGTAGCTCAGACACCTAACATATCGAAGTGAGAAATACATGAAAATTCTAGGCTATAAACAAAGAAAAATATGAAGAAAGCTTCTGGCTTTCCCCAGAAAAATGAAGATTTTCATCCAGCATCATCTATGGGCTTTCATTTATATGTCCAAAGAGATGCTTAGCATAGCGTGTAGATATGTTTAGGTATGTGTTATGAACAAAGATAGCAATAAAAATAGCAATGAACAATGATTGTAATAAATCATGCAATCATTACATTTTTTTGTGTCCAAAGATCTTTTAATTCCTATGGTAGCCTTTTATTTCTAGCCAAGTTTGTAATTATTTATGGGTGAGAGAGAAGATAACCTTTTCAGCAGGTTATCCAGATTTTCTACACCAATAAGGAATTTCAACTCGGATTAAAAGTGTAGGTACCTTAGGTTTTTCCATCTTTCTTTTTCTGTTTGGTTTTCTGGACTTTCACTTTCATAGGAAGCCAAATACAAACCTAAAAAAATGAGATTGGGAGAGAAAGAAGACAAATCTATTACTGAATTACTATTAACAGCTAAAAGGTTAACAGTCTCACAAACAAAACAGGATGCTTGTTAAAAGTAAGGAAACAATCTGCACAGGCAGGCCAACTTTCATGTTCACAAATTCTTCTGAATTCTGTTAACGTATTCTGTTCTGAAGATATTGTTAATGTAGCTTCACCATAAAACAGAATTAATTTATCTGGTCATATTTCCTCTCTGGTCTGCCTGGTAAGGCTGACATCAATCTTGTAAGGTTGAAAGTAAATTTTTCCCGGAGTCACCTGTACAGTCCGAGAACTTAGGGAGAGTCCCTGCGGAGCGTCTTATTCTACCCACTATGCAGCTGAAGTCTATGCAGTCTCTTATCTGGCTGTTCCCAAGGCAGCATCCCAAGGCAGAACTCAAGGTCTGTTCCATGTGCTCTCACAACAATTAAGGCCTTGTTACATACATACACATATAATTTTTACTAATGAGGTTTTCAACAGAATTTAAAAAGTACCAATTTTAAATTGAAAATAAGAATAAGAATAAAGAAAAACAAATGGGCAAAGAAGAAATAAAAGGAGAGAAGTAAAAAAAGCAAAGGTTTTAAAGAAGTGGCTTCCAATCTTAACTGGTTATAAATGCACTGAGATTTTATCCTCTCTCTTTAAGGTTGTAGCATAATTTCTTTCTTTCCATACTCTACTCTTTGTAATTATCAAATCCAATAACAGCTTAGTTACTATGCAGAAACAACTGTATTGGTGTCTTCCCTTACATGAAAACAGAAATAGTAAACTAGTCTTTCATAGTTTGGATCCTGTATTTGAGTTCCTTTTCAAGCTGCCATGCTATTATAGTGAGGTAGCATATGGGAGCCAAGCAAGTCAGATATCTCTACACTTCCTAGTGCATAAAAGGTAGCAAAATACTTCTGCTGTTGCAGTGATGTTTCCTGATAGAACACTGGAAATTCTTCATTTACCAGAAAAGCTAGCATTAGCTCAGGAATATATACCGGTGATAATAATAAAAAAAATACAAAAGAAAACTGACAGCAGAAACAGATCTAGTGGTCCATCAAGTCTGCCCTTTGAGTTTTTTCTATTATTTTATTGTTTAAATTTTTGCCAGAGGATGTGACATACGTTTATCCTAAACGTGGGGGACAGGTTAATTTACATGCCCATCTGGAATCTGCATAGGATCATATTGCACAAGGATGTAGTACATAGGTATTTGTAATTACAGCTTAAAATTAATGGGTGTTTGGAACATCTACACCATAAAATGATGATAATTGGCTTCAAACATCTAATAAAAATGAAGTTGCATCTGGATCCACTACATAATTACATTTATGAGCCATATTCAAGCACCAAAGATTACATGATGAGAGCATAAGAAAGATACATGTATAGATTTCACTTCTACTGTGCTCCTGCTATCCAATTTCCTTCTTCTCCATGTGCTGGAAGGCCAATATAAAGCTTGTTGTACTTTGGTCTTTATACTGGAGGTAGCATTCTAAAGCATGAGAGAGCCAGCACAGGGGCCATCTGATGCTCAGATGACAGGGATTTGACTAAGAAACTGGGACTTACTAGGTTTTTTTTTTTGCCTAATGCAGTTCTATTCTAAGGCATTTTTGCCTAATGCAGTTCTATTCACATGAGATTTACAAGCCTCCTAGAAATGAATCTGCCAACAGTGCATTTTCCTCTTGCCTTTCTATGCAGAAGTCGCAATACTTGGGAAAACAACATGGAAGTGCGAAACCCATAGATGCCATGTAAGCCTTTCTGCCCATTCTTTGCCCCTAAAACAGTCCCAACATACCTCTATTTCCATGCAAAGGTTCCACTTCATCAGACCCAAAGCTCAATGCCTAAAACCCATCTGCTGAAGTGCCCTTTGTCACTCCAGAATGCAAGAACCTTCAGATTGATCTGAATCTTTCTCTTTTATGGGACCAATTTAATTGTTTCATTTGTTCATTTAAAGTTCCGATGGTTTCTTATGGGTCTCGAAAATGATTTTTTCCTTGCTGTATTCTGAACTTATCTGTAACCAATAATGTCCTAAATGTTGCATACAATTTTTGTGAATGAGTTTTAAGGACTTTTGTTTAAAAGCACAAAGGTCAGAAACATACCAAAAGTCTATACAGCCTGTAGGCAGAGTTAATTCATCCAGCCTCATCTCTGACATGAGGATAATTGGATATGACTGAATTAATTTATTATGAAAGGACACAGGGTAACATGATCTATCAAGAGGATAGGAAGAAAAATCAGACAAAAGCTCCGTAGCAAATGGGGATGATTAACTGCATCCAAAATAACTTTAGTTTTTTTTCAAGCATAGCACAAAAGGTAAATCTTCCTTTGTTGGGAGTTGGCCTCTACTTTCTGTGCCTGAAGCCATCACAAACATAATTTGCAAAAGAATAGATTTGTTTGGATGTGTGCAACACTAGCACAGTAAGGCCATCAGGTCTATTGCTCTGTGGAATGATTGACTATAAAAAGATGTCCTCCATAATCATCCTAATTGCTACCAATTGTAGACAATGTGGATTTGTACAAGAGCACATTCCAAAAAAACATATTTTCAGTCAATCATATAGAATAATGTCAGTAGCAGATACCTATTCATTCATGAAATCAGGATGTTCTTACCATCTTCGGTAAAGATAGGGGCAGTATGTAAATAGTGGATTATATTATCATCCCGTTCGAATGGACATTCAACTTGTTTCCATGTTATGAATTCTCCTACTTGTTTTGCCAGTTCCAAGAATTTCTGTATCAATTTTAAAAAGAAATATTTAGATCAAAGAAAATAATATTCCAGTAAAATTAGGACTGTGGCTTCAGAATAATCCAATACTAATCTGATAACATGTCTGCAAAAAATGAGAAGCTTTTATATATTTCTGTAATGTGGAATGGAATACATTAATTTGCAGTTCCTATAAAATACTCTGATCTGGAATTCAACAGCTTATGTTCTTTACATAAATTTGCTGCAAGACTATTTTGGCAGCCTTCTAAAATTAGGCATCTCACTAATTAAGATTAAGTACTTATATAATATATGAATATAGGTAAGTATTGACATAATTATAATAATACATCATTAATTCCAAATCAGAACCCTTCTTTAACTTCTTTACTATTACCTCTTACTTGACAGTAATGGCTAAATTCTTGGTAAAGACTATGTAAATATACAAAAATATATCAAGAGTTATAAATATATTGATGAAAATTTATTAATCAATATAAGACATAAACAGTAACAAATAATCCTTTTTGAATAATTATTTATCATACATATTAGACAGATTAATTATTCTTAAATAGCTCTTAAGTATTCTTAAATAGTCATTGGTATTAATACATAATCATAAATCAAAGAATAATATATTCATCTGACATTTTTAACCTGATTTGGCTTATTGTTTTTTTTTAATTAAAGAGTTTTACAAAACAAAAAACATTTTTACAAGAAAAACATAAACCGTTTGATTTGGCTTATTGTTTTAACACAATCCTTGGAATTTAGAGTAGTTTTGGTAGTGAATACAGATGCAAAGCTTTATTCCAAGGGTGCTTCATTCAGTTTGAATTTGTAAAATATTATTTAAAAATTAAATACTGATACTGCATATGTATAAGATATGCAGGGACATAAACTGTCAATTATGTGTATTATTCTCAAGTGGCCTCTGCAAACAAAATTGTCCCTTAAGACTTGGGTCCCTGCCCCGGGTGGTTTTTTGGGGGTGGGGGAGATGTTTCCCAATTCTGTATTAGCTGCCAGCTAATTTATATCCCAGTTGCTTCCCAGATCATAATCCTCCCCAAAATACCTCATTTTCTTAAGCAATAAGATGGAAAAAACAATTTGCTATGATTCTCCTTCCCTGCAAAATTCTATGAAGAAAGAAGGTCCTGTTCAGTGATGGGATTCAAGTAATTTAACAATCGGTTCTGTGCCCTAATGATTTCTTCCAACAACCAGTTTGCCAAACTGCTCAGAAAGTTAACAACCGGCTCTCCCGAAGTGGTGCGAACTGGCTGAATCCCACCACTGGTCCTGTTTGATACCCAGAGGAGGAAAGGGTGATAACAGCAAAATTGTTGCAGAGACAAGGGGGAGCTAAAGAATCCCATAAGGAGCAAAATATATTTTTGTAGGCAAAATATGCCTCTGACTACATCCTCTTCTATTACCCGAACATGTCCCCTTGATTTCTAGGGGATGTTTTTTAAAGGTGGGAAAAGGAGCTGAGAAAATTCTGTTGTGTAGCTAACTGTTGTGCAGGCCTTGTACATATGCAATGCATTTGTGCTTTGAAAAAAAAATATCTTGAAATAAGATTGCAAAGATCTCTTTTTATATAGCAACTGCCTTTGTTCCTTTACCATGAAACAAAAGCACCATGGCTCAGAAAACATTTGCTGCGATAAATAATACTTGCTGTGCTTACTTCAAAGTTGACATGCCCATTTGGAAGGCGGTTTGCACATCCCTCATTCAAAAAGTAAATATCTTTGATCAGTAGGCTGAAGAAGGGGATCACAATCTGTGAAAAGAATGGCATAACAATTGTCTCCGCAGTTCTATTATTGATGCACAAAAAACAACTCACTCACACAAAGTAAAGAGATTAACTTTTCAATTCTAATGAACAAACTGTAATGTGAGCTAGGCCTAGTGGTTCCATGAAATAGCTGCAGGGCTGAACTAATCTTCCCTGCGCACACAAAGACAAAGGACACAAACATAGGTACAATAATTCCACAAAGACTAAATACATTGCAGGTGTTTGACTGATTAGGTATTATTGCTTAATAGGATAATATTTATAGGTAAATAAGATTATTTTATGCAAAGGAAAAGTTTAATGTGAATAAGTAAATATCAACAATCTACAGAGAAATCTACAAAGCCATGTAAACATTTACAATTAATCCCATTTAGCAAACATATGGAATAGATATTTGTGACAAAAGCCTGTGATGCATGCAGCAGAAATTCCAATCATATGAATAAAATATGTTCACTTATGTTGCAACACTGCCCCCCTGGATAAAATACTTTTTATACAGAGCTTGATTTTGACATGGATCAACACCAATGAAATCAAGTGAAACAACATGGGTTCACTTTAGCTAAATTTAGACGTGGTGGCGCAGTGATTAGAGTGCAGTACTGCAGGCTACTTCTGCTGACTGCTGATCGCCAGCAGTTTGGCAGTTTAAATCCCACTGGCTCAAGGTTGACTCAGCCTTCCATCCTTCCGAGGTTGGTAAAATGAGGACCTAGATCAGGGGTCACCAACCTTTCAGACCTCAGGGACCACTAACTTCATAATTTTAAATCCCGCGGACTACTAATGTGATCTGCCTAATGACTGGCTGGGTGGGTGTTGCTAGGTGGTCATGTGACTGGGTGGGTGTGGCCAACTCCTCACCTCCCCGTCCGGGCTCCTTAGGGCCCCAATAGGAAGCAGTTGTTGGAGCTAAGCAGCCATCACGAGAAAGAGTTGGCAAAACAGCTTAGTTCAAATTGGATCTGACTGAGAAGGAGGCTCAGCAGAAGCACCTCACTGAGGACTACAAGCATAGGCTTTCCAAGCAGAGGGAAGACCTGCGGGAGTGCAAGGCCAGGTACCGGCGCCTGGAGGCTCAGCGGGCTGAGATGATCAGCCAGTTCCAGGCCATGATGCAGTCCCACTGGAATAAGGTCCTCCGGCTCTTCGCACAAGTGGCACTTCCTTCTAGCCTTTGCCCAAAGCCCCGCACCAGGAGGCTGAAGCAGTCGGAATTTCTGCCCCCCTCCAACCCACACAAGAAGACCCCCAAGGGGGAGACTCTCTGCAGCAACACAAGCGTTCATTGCATGTATCTGGTCCAGGAGCTGTACTTTGAGGACCCCTGATTTAGTGCAATATAAAAAATGCAAATAATTTTTCTGCGGAGCACCAAAATTTTCTCGCGGACCACCAGTGGTCCACGGACCACCGGTTGGTGACCGCTGATCTAGATTGTTGGGGGCAATATGCTGACTCTGTAAATCACTTAGAGAGGGCTGTAAAAGCACCGTGAAGCGATATATACCATATTTTTCAGAGTATAAGATGCTCTGGACTATAAGACGCACCTACCTTTTTTGGTGAGGAAAACAAGGAAAATAAATCTGCCTCTGCCTCCCAGCAATTTTGCCTCATTGCAGCAAACTGCAAATAGCCTGCTTTACTTTCATTTTCATTTTCAGCATAGCTTGATTAGCACAAGAAAAAAAAAAACTGCTCCCAGCAATTTACCTCCTTGCAGCAAGCAGCAGAGGCCCGCTCAAAACAGCTGAGAGCAAAACAGCTGAGCGTCAGGAGGCCGATCTAATCAACTTGTGCTAATTAGGCTGTGCTGAAGCTGAAATGAGCTGTTTCTTCTTGCTGCTTGCTGCAAGGAGGTAAACTGCTGGGAGGCAGAGGCCAATGGGTGGGGGCCAGTAGGTGGGAGAGGCTACATTCTGTGTATAAGACGCACCTAAATTTTCACCCCCTTTTAGGGGGGAAAAAGGTGTGTCTTATACTCCGAAAAATATGATAAGTCTAAGTATTTCATTCCAGTTGGCTAACTGACAGGACGGACACGGCTCCTGCTTAACAACAACTTTATTCAACAACAATGGCAATTACCTCAGAATCAACATCCCGCATTTGACAGCTCCTTATATATGAGAGCTGTCAACGTAACAACCAATGAGAACGGCATTATAACAGCCAATCAGAACTCTGCAACTTCCTGGATATGCAACACTAAGTGCTATTTCTATTATCCTTTACATGTATTGTTTCATTTTGAATTTGGAACTTTTCTAACTATGACTAACTCTGCATAATTTGGAGTGGATAAATTCATGTAGAAACCAGTGCAAAAAGAATACAAAGATGCAATCCAACACCCAATGCATTTTGAATACTAGATTATTCATTATAGAAAAGCCATTTTCCCAGATTAGCCTGAAGAGGTACAATTGACCTTCCTTCCTTCCTTCCTTCCTTCCTTCCTTCCTTCCTTCCTTCCTTCCTTCCTTCCTTCGTTTATTTTTGCAATTTAAGGCAGTGTGTATAATATTCCCTCCCATTTTCCCAACAATAGCCCTGTGAGGTAGGTTGGTTCAAGAGATAGTAAGTGTCTGAAAGTCACCACCTGGTTTCTGTGCCTCTAGGAAGACTAGAGCTCACAGTCCCTCGGTTTCTAATCTAGAGTCTTAGAAAATACAATTTCATGTATTGTATGTGTGGTTATGTGTCTATACACAACACACACACAAGAGTAGCAATATTTATCAGCTTAATCTGATGAAGTATGCTGAAGATAAGGAAAGGAAAAAGAGGGAGGGAGGGAGAGGGTGGATCTTAGATATAGTTAATATGAAATTCTGAGATCAGAAACCATTGCTTGGGCAAATGCTTTTCCTATCTATGCTAGGAAAGAGGGAGAAATCATTCACATTGTTCTGCAATGAAATCAGCTACGCTTGAAACTGAGAAACTGAAAGTATGATGTTCTTCTCCCAAGTTTGCTTTATCAGCAATGACAGTGACTGGTGATAAAAACTGGAATGCTGTCAATCATATCTCCAGAGCTCATAGATATCAATAAACAAGTCACTCATTTGGATACATCTTCAAATTATTTGTGATTCTTTCTCTACTGTGTATCTGAAAGAGAAAACAAGCAATTTGCTTTCTTTGGGATGAACATAAATAGATCACACAGTTTCTCTTCCCATTATACTCTTCTAGTAAAAGTTCGGCCTTAAAATACTGTAAAAGAGAAAGTGAAAGACATTATCACAAACTGCAGAGCAATAACAGGACACAAGTATCCATTCTATAGCTATACTCTTGCTAATTACTGCATGGGTAACAATTAGCTGCAACGAAGTCCTATATAAAACTTAAACAGCAGCCCCTGAAAAAGCTATAAGAAAATTCCACTGATAATCTTTTGGACTCTTTTACAGATCATGCTGTCTGTGTAGCCTCTGTGTTTAGTGGCCAATGCAAATATTATCCTGAAGCAAAGTTTACAGAGCATCTAATGGAAATTTCACACCACGGAAGGCTGACTCAGCTCTCTAAAATATTGGGAGATAAACAGATTTCAAAGTTGACTCTGATGGGGCAAAACTGTGGTGGAAATGCATAATGAAATATTGTGGAAGTTGGCCTTCCTGTTTTTCTGTCTTAACATCAGAGAAGCAGATGTGAAAATCTGCTGGTGCACCATTTCTATCCATCTGTGTTAAAGAGGTTTTTAGAGAATAGGAAGAAAGTATGTAGGAAGCAGAAAAGGCTAAACCCTACAATGACTGTATTATAAACTGATGTTGGATCCTTTATTTACTAAAAGTTACAATACCTTAATGTATATCTGTCATCTCCCAATAAGACATTGAGCAACTCTGCATGGACTCAATAAGTTTCTGAATTCAATTCAGATTGTCTTAACCTTCAGAGCTACAAGGTTAAAGACCAAAACATCTACTGGATTGCTGTTTCCTGCATGAGCCCATCCATCCATCGTGACCTTTTTGTGACTCTAAAATCATGGTTTTTTTCCAGCAGCAGGAAAGAATAGATTCCTTGTTTTATAAAACTCTGAGAAAGAAAAGAGGCATAATGTTCATATCTCACCATTCCCTTCTCATTGCACTTTATTTTGGTGGTTTCCTTTCACTTTCCCTCTCTTTGTCTGTTGATTGACTGATGACTTCAGAGGACTGAAATAATGCTCAAGATTATATTTTCACTGACTGAAAGTATAAATCTGATTTTCTCAAACATCAAATTACACTTTCAATGAAGTCTCTTGTATCTGTGTGCCCAGGGTAACAGGGTCATTGCACACAAGCAGCTATTTACTCTTAATTACTTTCTCTGCAAAATGTTACTATTTCTCTGTTTTTAATATGCTAATTCAACTATTTTTAATTGACAGCAGTTTGGATTTTATTTCTGTCACACTGAGTTCATCTATCTCCATGCTGTCCTTTATTGCTTCTTTTTTTTCATACGCTGGTTCTATAAATTCTATTACTTTTTAACTGTCTCATATCAAATGTATGTTGATATAAATGGTAGAAATAACAAAATTCAATAATTTCAGATAAAACTGTAAAGGGTATGGATGCCAACCTCCAAAAAGCATTGCTGGCCAAGATTCTACGACATCATTTTGGCTTTCCTGTTTAGCTTTCTTTATTCTCAATGCCCCAAATTAAATTCATCAGGCAGTTGCTTCTTGATAATGCTCCTTTAGAATGCAATGGATGTGAATGGCACATGCTTGAATGTGTTGAAGATTTGCAAGGCAAATAAGATTGTCAATTAAAGTGTTAAGATATTCATCCCTTTCATTTGCCTAAAATAATTCACTTCATGATATTATATATGCCTCCATTCGAATAACAGATTGTCTCTTACACTCTCTTTATCTTTGTCCGTACAGATTTTGCTTCCGGCAGTTCACAACTCCAAGCTTCTAGGCTAACAATTTTTAACAGTTTTTTTTTTAAAAAATAGTCACTGCCTAACTTAAGAAATGCAGAAAAATATTATGTTTTCTTTATTCAAGTGATAAACAAACAAACCAACAAATCTAAGCACCCTATTTTATACGTACCCTTCAAAAGACAAGGATGGAATTTGGTTATAGGATCAGCAATGAATAATATTGCCCTTAAATAAGTAATCGTAAGATTTTATTACGTTTTTCCCAGCATGAATAAAGATATTGTCTATTGCATCCTTCCAAGAGATAATAACATTTTAGAAAGGGGTAAAATATGTGCTCACAGATCTTATTAGATTCCAAATTTCATCTTCCCTATGCAGCATGTTAAATGATGAGGGATATTGGAAGCTATACACCTGGTTCACACATAGTTTAAGTAATCATATAATTTAATTCATTTTTGCTTAGAATGATATGTGAACCTACTTATTATGGTTTAATGGTATCTACTTAGGAAACCTTTTTTAAAAAATCCTCACATAAAGTTATACGTAAACACAGTTTTCTTGGCAAGGTATTATTTATTTTTATCTCATTATTGTTATAAATAATTCAAGGTGGCAAACATACCTAATACTCAGCGGTGAAATGCACTTACCTTCGCTACCGGTTCGGAAATGTGACCTTGCGCGCGACTCTTCTGCGCATGCACAGAGGGTCAAATATGGGACGTAATGATGTCCTGGCAGGTAGGTGGAGCTTCCCACTGCCGGCCCTACTGGCTCGCGCGAGCCAGATAAATCCGGCCGGATTTTACTATTGCTAATACTCCTTCTTCTTCCTATTATTCTTACAACAACAACCTTGTGAGGCGAGTTGGGCTAAAAGAGTGGCCCAAGGTCACCCAGCTGGCTTTCATAGTTAGGGCATAGTCTCCTGGTTTCTAGCCTGGTGCCATAACCACTACACCAAACTGGCAGATTTGGGATAATCACAAAGGAACAAGCAGTGCCGTTTTTAGTTATGTGACAATCTCGTAATTCTGCATAGATGACATCCCCACAGCTTTTCTTTATGGAAGGAGAAATACTGTTTTACACATTCAATGTCTCTAAAGAAAACATAGCCAGTTTGGTGTATTGTTAAGGTGCCAGGCTAGAAACTGGGAGATTGTGAATTCAAATCCTACATTAAGCCCAAAGCTAGCTGGGTGACTTTGGGCCAGTCATTCTCTGTCAGCCCTAGGAAGCAGGCAGTGGTAAAGCGCTCCCAAAATTTTGCCAAGAGAACTGCAGGAGTTTATCCAGGTGGCTGCCAGGGCTCAACATTAATTTGAAAGCACACTCATGTGCGCGTGCGCACACACACACACACACACACACACACACACACACACACACACAGAGAGAGAGAGAGAGAGAGAGAGAGAGAGAGAGAGAGAGAGAGAGAGAGAGAGAGAGAGAGAGGACAAAGATACAATTTATTTTAGCTTCCTTTAATTGTCCCTAAGCTATCCAGAGTATAGCAATTGTTCATGTGAAGCTCTCTGTTCTCAGTACGGATCAATCTAGACAGCCTGCACTAGTATCTTTCCGAAACCTTTCAATCTCCGCTATCTATGTTTTATGTTTTCTGACAGCAAAATACACTTAACACACTTTCCAAAAGGTGCTTTTTCCAAAAAGCAATTGGACTTTCTTGCCTTTTTCCTTTGAAAACATGTCGTTTCTCATCCAAGAAGCTTCTTCAGTTCAAATAAGAAGTGAAACCTCTTCAAAGGAAGAAAGAAAAAAAACCCAAGAAAGTCCAGTTGCCTTTTGGAAAAAAAGCACTTTTGGGACAACCATGACCTGGATGACTGAGAATCTCCATAGATATTTGACAGACATTCATTTTCTCAGTTATATAAATATACAGCAGAGTAACAGAGATGCGCTAACATGGAGAATATACAGCGTATTGCAAAGAATCTTTTGAATAAGGAATATTTGTAGCTCAGGGTTGAAATGAGGGGTACCTCTCAAATAATTAGAATAATATACAGGAAAGACCAATGACGTGTCTTCAGCAAGTGGAAAGAATGAACTAAAACAGACTGACTTCCAGTGAGAAGGCAAAGGTAGAAAGGATACCAGTGAGAATGAACACTCACACTGCACCAGCTTTTTTGCCCTTGCTGTTTTCATCTCTTTTCTAATAGAGTTCTAAATAATAAGTGCAAAAATTCCCTTGGCAAGAGGAGGGGAAGGAACGGCACAAGCTAGAGGCAGACCTAACTACATGACCCTGGTGTCAATTTTATCATGGTTCTGTATGCAATGCATGAAAAGGGCTGGTGAAATCACTGAAGACTTAGAGAAGAAAGGGTTTCATGAGTGTGTGGTACTATAACTCCCACGCTTGATAAAATCCCACTTCAGGTAGTCCTAGACCGTTCAAAGTTTCAACGGCACTAAAAAAAAAGTGACTTATGACCTCTTTCACACTTATAACCATTGCAGCATTCCCATGGTCACATGATCAAAATTCAGATGCTTGGCAACTGGGTCGTATTTATGACGGCTGCGGTGTCCTAGGGTCACGTGATCAGCTTTTGCGACCTTCTGACAAGCAATATCCATGGGAAATCCAGATTCACTTAGCAACCATGTTACTAACTTAACAAATGCAGCGGTTCACTTTAACAGCTGGGGCAAGAAAAGTCGTAAGATGGGGCAAACTCCCTTAACAAATGTTTCACTTAGCAACATAAATCTGGGGCTCAATTGTGGTCGTAACTCAAGGACTACCTGTATTATGTGGTAGTTAGAATGCAAGGCTAAAATTGGATGTATCCAAGTAGAAGCCCATGTTTTATCACAAGCAGCTGTCTTTCAGCCTCACTCATTCCGCACGGCGAGGATGAATTTCTGGAGATGGCATGTAAAATGTTTATAGTTATAATAAGAATGGTACCTTTTCCCTGTTGCTGTGTGCTGTTAGGGACCGATGAGCAGCTCCCCTTAAGGCAGTCCTGTAGTTGTAAAAATTGCCAGTAGGATCCATCTGGTGCTGAAATAAGAGGGAGTGGTGGGATGTGAAGAGGGAAGGGCCATGTAAGTTCGCAAGTCAGATAAAAGCTGGTATTATCTTTCCATCACAGAGTTTATAACTTGATAAAAAGACTAGATGACACAGTGAATTGAGAAGATGACTTGATTTTTTTCCCCCTGCAGGTCAGTCACTTTCTGTTATCTCCTTTTATTCTCTCTCTTTAAGTCTATAATGTTTTTATGGAATAAATTCCTAAGGATGCATATAGAAGGCTTCCTAATGCTAATTTTTTTTAGGGGTAGTGGTGGCTTGTTCCTACTTTATGTGTGGTTGTAACTGGATTGAAATGAATTTACTCTTCTGTGAGAACTTTTCCATTCTGGGATTTCTGGGTGAAGAATGTGACATGGTATGAGAATTCCACTTAATCACGTGACCCTCGATTATGAACATTTAAGTCTTAACAAATGTACAATTCTCAACATATTACCTCAAGAATAAAAAACTTGGCTGTTTTCACTTTTGACCAGGTCTTCTTTAGCCTAGATACTGGACTCATGTTCATTCCAGCTGGAGGGAAAGAAGATGACCAATGGAGGAGAACATTAAGAAACAGAATAATTGCTGAATATTCTTAAAGTGATACAGAAGTGACATTGGCACACTTACAGATGATTGCCATCAGTGAATTAAAGTTCCCTATGTTAAAGCACTCCCGGGCGACATCAATGAAGAATTCAATGACTTGTGCCCTCTGCTTCTTTTTGGCAGGCTGTAAATAAACAAGCCGATGAAAATGTAAAAAATGATTGAAATGTCATCACTCCACCAGTAGGAAATGTCCTATTTTTACTGCTCAATCCAACAGTTTAGCATATTGGATAATCTAATTTGATCACTTTGATTATTGGCATTCACTCCTGGCAGCTATAGGAATCAAAATTCTCATTAGACGGTGACCGAAGCCTAGTATGCCTTTTAAAAAAAGTCTTCACCACTGAGCTGACAAATGTACACGCCAAAGACAATTAATTCCAGAAATATTCTGTCTAGCAAATTATCATTGCAATGACAACTATTGTAATTTTTTCCCAGGCTTTAAATTAAATAGACAGACAGTAAAGGCATCCTCAATATCTGTCTTAGTTCTGTAGATCACAAATAAGTTCATCTTTTCTCCACTGTATACTGTATGTTAGATGGGGCTTTATTTCATCATTAAAGAGCGGGAGTCTTCCTGGACTCAAGAATTCCAACTCAATGAACGGATGGGAGCGGTAATCAGGAAGGCCTTTCCATATGATATGTCAGTTGTTTACTTTTCTAGATCAGGGACTCAGATAGATACTCATTGTCCTGGTCACTTCATGGCTTCACTACTACAATATGCTGTACAGGGAGCTGCCTTGAAGACCACCTGGAAGTTTCAGCTGGTCCAGAATGTAGCAGTGTGGATAGTAATGAGCATGCTTTGGTATGCCCATGTAACACTTATGCATTGGTTGCCAGCCTGCTTCAGAGTGCCATTCGAAGTGCTCCATGTTACCTTATAAAGCCCCATATGGCATAGGCTTCACTTGCTTAAGGACTGTCTCTCTCCCATAGTATCTGCCTGGCCAATTTGTCAGTTAAACAATGCCTTCTATTGGGATCCTGGAAGTGTGCCTTCTATAGAGAGCAAAAAGGATGACCTTGATGGAGGGACGGAAGATCTGTTATCAAGGCAACAAACAGATAAAGATTGCAGAAACTCAGATTAGTGGGGAAGGGGCTTAAAGCATCTTAGGCATCCCCCAACTTCACTCAAAGATAATAGAGAAAGATAATAGAGAAAAATTCTGTTCCCATACCCAATCTTAATAAAAATAGTTTTTGGCAGAGTCTGTTTCTTGATTAGGCCTACCTTGTAAGGCTGATCCTTTCTCCCTAGCAGCATCTGCTGTCTAGAATGAGTTTCTCCCTGATTTCACCCTGCTGATGTTTTGAAGGATCCTGAAAATCTGGCTTTCCACCCAGGCCTTTGGCAAGCATGAGTTGTCAACTCTCTTTTGGACTATGTGAGCGTCTTTCTTTCCCATCCAGTTTTCTCTCATTCTTCCCATTTTCACTCTTTGTTGTTGTCTATCACTGCATTTTTTCTTGTTTTTAATGTTTTTTATTTGTAACCACCATAGTCATCAGGAGTTGGGCAGCATCTAAATTTAGATAATTGTCAGGGTTCCAAGTAACATCCCCAATGAAAGAAGACTCTGAGGCTAGAAGTTCCTCAAAGTTCCATTTAAAATACCATTTTAATCCATTTTAATGTCATATTGGCACATCTGAGAAAACCTGAATCTGAAAGCTTCCAGGTTTTCCCCACCCAAAATAAAGTCAAAGTCCCTTCCCCTGCACCCACATGCCCATCACATGGTCCATTCAGTGCACCGTTGCAACTGGAGATGCCTCCCAGTCATGGCACTCCAGGTGCAGGCAGAATGTCCTTGACTCCCAGAGAAAAGAATGTTATTATGGGTAGATATCTCTACAACTTCATGCAATCCCCCCTCCCAGTTTCACGCAGCACTAAGTGTGGCAGCCCTGAAGATCCAAAGAAAAAGATGGCCTCCAGGGCTGACAATAATATTAACAGTAATAACAGTAATAATACATGAAGAGTCATATAGGTTGGATTTATATGTTAAATAAATTTAACCTTAAAATCAAATTTAGTTTTTGTGACCTAGATCTGTTCCTTTCTTTGCCTTGGGCTAACCTTTTTTGTGGAGTGTGAGCTCCAGGAATGCCACTCAATGGCCAAGTTTGATTCCTGGCTTCTCAATCATTCCGCCCCCACTATACCAAAATGATTGCTTTGGCACTGCATTGATAGCTTCTTCATTGCTTGAGATTTACTGCAACATTTTTGTGAAATGCCTGCAAACCTAAAGCTTTTATTCATTTTAAAAAAGACAAACTTGCTCAAACAATTATTTTTAATGAGAGAAAGAAAAAAAAAAACAATTCTCCATAGAATTTATTACCAAATGCTTTCAAAATGACATAATGATGCCATCAGTATAACAGTATCTGACTTACCATACAAATTTCTGTGGCTACAAGATAGCAGAGTCTATTGAACCATTTCACATAAGCCTCAAGATTACTAGTCTTCTTCTGTTCACTGAAACAAGGCTGGAAAATAAAAATTAAAAAAAAAGATAAAACATGACATGCAGTAAATCCTCCAGGTTTTTTTTTTTTTCTTTTGAGTTTTGGTTGTTTTAAATTATCGAAGCTATCTAAATGTGTTGCTCAAGATACAACAGAACGTATATTTTTGAACATGTGCACATGTGTACACATGGCTGCCTGACAGACCGGGCACGTGGAACTCTGTTTTAAATATAAAAAGATGGGAAGTGTCAGATGTCTTTGATTTCACAGCCTACAGCCCTTTCTGCAAATCAAATTAACGCACGATGAACAATTCTGTTTTGCCAACAGCAACTGTTCAGAATGCTTCCCCCCCCCCCCCCCCCCCTCGCCCCCATCTACACTCACTGATACATTAACAGGCAGGATAGTACTATTCGCAAAGAGCAATAAGAATCTGGGAAATGAAATCAGAGGAATGTCTTTTTTTGTGTAACAGCCATATTTCATCTATGCCTTTAACAGAGGAGTTCTCCAATGTTGACAAATGCAATGGCTGACTCTGTCGTGGGAGTTGCCTAACATAAAACAATATTTCTGAGAATGAGAGGGGAAGACATGGCAGCAAATGCCCTGGTTCTTGATTGGAATGTTATTTGCTTTGAAGAATTGTTTCTTTCAGAAGATAATACCTTTGTACTGATCTTTTTATCTTGCCCTACCTCTATATCATCAGTTCCCATGAAACAAGTCACCCAAATGGCAAAATTCATCAGCAAATGTCATTCTTGTGACCTAAACTTTTTCGACAGAGGTTCCTAGGCAACCGCTCACGACTGGGACCTCCCAGCTCTCTTTCAAATGAATTTCAATCTAGAGGCTTAAGGTGCAATTCAATAATATCTACTCTGTATATATTCCCACTGAGTCCAGTGGGACTTGTTCCCAAGATGGTATGCAGACTCTGCAACATAAATGACTGAAAAAGATTCCAGCTGCAGAGAGTATTTTAAAAGCATTTATGAATCTGTATTTTGAAATATTTGTATAACTTTTAGCAACCACTAGAGGGTATCAGGAAATATTAGAACAAATATCTCTTATTAATGTCATAATTTCTAGCTCAGGCCTTAAGGATACAATAAATCAATGAGGAGGAAGTTTTTATGCAGAGAAAAGGGGATTCCCATAAGTGGAATAAATATAGAAAAATATGCCATTGGGAGTTTTTGGTTTTCACAATATTTGCAAATTTCTCCATTGCAGAAAACATCTCCTAAGGCTAAAGTTGATTAATGAGAGATGATGGAATTTTATGTAAAGCAGGAAGTACTTTTAAAATGCAAGTAGCCTGAAGCAAATTCAGTGTGATGGAATATAACTAGAAAAGAAATAACATTGCTGTTATGGTTCATGGCAAGAGGCGGCAAAAGTCATTTAAGAAGTGACTTAACCATCCTTTTCCATATATAGCATATTGCTTAGAATGGTATTGTCTAGTTAACGAATTATTTTGAGTTCTATTCCCTATTTCTATACTACAGGTAGTCCCCGACTTACAGCCTTTTGTTTAGTGACCGTTCAAAGTTACAATGGCACTAAAAATGTGATTTATGATCATTTTTCACACTTACAACCATTGCAGCATCCCGATGGTCATGTAATCAAAATTCGGATGCTTGGGAACTGGTTCATATGACACTTGCAGTGTCCCAGGCTCTTTTGCAACCCTCTGACAAGCAAAGTCAATGGGGAAGCCAGATTCACTTAACAACTGTGACAAGGATGGTTGTAAAATGGGGCAAAGCTCACTTAGCAACTGTCTTGTTTAGCAACAGAAATTTTGAGCTCAATTTTGGTTGTACGTCAAGGATTACCTGTACTTTTTGGTTCACTTTCCAGAATGTTTTTTAATTCGTTTGTATGTGATATACTATCCCTAATTATTTCCTTACTTTCTTCCCTTTGCAGCAGCGATATCAGGGCATTGATTAATCCCATGTTTGGCTCTGGGACAATCACCCTGATTTAATTAGAGGATGGGTCGTGGCTTTCTCCAAGTTGCAATATTCTGAAAATAAAACCCGAAGAAAATATTCTCTAATAAAACTCATTTATTTGTTATAAAGGAAATAAACACCTCACTAACTAAGAAAAGTAATTGTTACATTTTGAAATAGTTTGTGCCGGCTGCTTTTCAGCAGTCGACACCTCCGTGGCATGAGAACAAAAGAAAAAAATGTGAAGGAATGTGGGTGGATGCGGAAACACGTAGTTTACTGATAAGAAGTTGGCAAGCTACGGAAAGTCTGACAGTCCAGAAATAATTAGCTCAGCTGGTAAATAAAATAACGCAGTGACAAGCCTTTCCTTTTCAATCCCGATACATTCAGTGCTGAATTACATTGTTAGCGCATTGTCTCTCTTTTCCCCGATTCTTAAAACTTGCTGACTGATCTAACTTAATTTCATTCCAGACATTCTTTCTTTAATTTCCACCAACATTTACTTCTCATCTATTTTTATTTCATTTAATAGCCAAGTCCACTTTGTTTTCTATAGATTACACCAACTAAACACATTGTCTTGGATGCTGTTATACAGTGGCCAGATTTTGCAAATGCTAAATAAATAAAAGGAAATGCAGCAGTACAAGCAAGGAAAACTGTACCAGTGCACAGTGTGACTTGTTCTTTGCACCAACAGATCAGATTTAGTAACATGCTGCTCACAAGATTCAAAGAAACAAGCTCCTCTTCCTTGCACAAAAGAACCAAAGTTGTGTGAAATTACACAACAGTCCTGAAAAAGTTAATTAATCCTTGACACACCAATGACATGCTAACTTTATTTTGTAACGATAATCGCCATAACTACCAGATGCTTAGCAGGTTTATTCAATAAACAAGAGAAAGATAAGGAAATTATAGCCAAAGTAAGGTGCAGGAAAGGCAATCCCCATACACACCTGTTGTTTGCTACATGATAAGTTCCATTGCCACAACCCTATACTTCTGATATGTTTCGGTTATAATTAGAGATGAAAGAGAGGCATTTAAATGGACATTACAATTAGGCTGATGCAACTGTTAATACTGAAACATTACAAATACTTTATGTTCAGCCCACCAGCCTAAATATAAAATGAATTATCATCTTTTTTTTTTATCACGGTAGCATTTTACCAAAAAAATGACATGGATTTTGGTTTATAAACAATTTTAAAATTTTAATCAAGCCAACTTCCTTGGAACAGCCTGCACATTCTCTCTCTCTCCCCCTCCCTCTCTCTTCCAATGTATTCCAAGATACTATAATGTACAGAGCAACCCACAATCTCTTAATAAGCTAATCAAGTGGTCTCAAATTGGCTAATCCAATTTGAAGATGGGTGGACTTCAACTCCCAGAATTCCCCAGTCCACCCAACTTCAAGTTGTCAAGGTTGAGAAACACTGGGTTACTCATAGCAGTTACTAACCACCCACTCCTCAGAGTTTATGATTTAATATTATATCAGTGCAACTGCATATGCAAAATAAGCAAAACATGCCTATGTAGCTGAAACAGTCTAGTATTCCAGCTGCATTGGGAACCTGAGGTTTTCCTGGATGATGTGGAAGCTGGCAGACTATTGTTAGAAAGGATAAAAGGATGGAAAACCAAAAGCTAGTACGGTACAAAGGATAGCAATCATCGTGATTTTCTCTGAGATTGTTCTCACAACTGAGCTATTTCAAATGGATTATTAAAGAAGACAGATTCCTATCTTAACTACAACTGACCCATCACTGAAACCTTTAGGCACACCGTCTTATAATGTAGTCGGTCAACCTTTTTATTTCTCATTTATTCCAGACCAGAAAAGGCTTATGATATTTGCAGGAAAGGCAAAGTCAATGCATGAAGAAGTGAGCTTGTTACCAAAACAACAGATTTTAGACCAGAAGAGGGCTTTTATGCTTCCCAACCATCTCTTTGTTTCCTCAATTCTCTTGCTGTTTTGACCTGAATAACAAGCATTCCTAACTGAACTCCAGCTTTTTGTCTCCTGGGTTTTGAAAAGGGGCTAGACTGGCACAGTAGCTGTCATTTTTTATGGCCTCTTCTGCCTGCCAAGAGCGCCTGCCTTTATCTTATCAATGTGGCTGCTGTGAAGGAGGTGGAGGGTTCAGCTGAAGTAGCAGGACTACTTCCTCCTGGCAGTATAACATCTCTTCACATCTCTGCCTGACTGACAGATCGTGGCCTTTCAGAAAGTCAAGGAAAGGTGGGTGGGTACTCCTGAAGAATATAGAAAGGAAGGCAAGAAAAGCTGTAGGTATGTTCAGTTTGTAACATGATATTACTACATTTTAACAGAATAACAAGAGTTGGAAGGGACCTTGGAGGTCTTCTAGTCCAATCCCCTGTTCAAGCAGCAGACCCTATACCATTTCAGACAAACAGCTGTCCAGTCTCTTCTTAAAAGCCTCCAGTGATGGAGCACCTACAAGGCAAAGAAGGCAAATTGTTCCACTGGTTAATTGTTCTCACTGTTAGGAAATTTCTCTTTTAATTCTAGGGCAGTGATGGCTAACCTTTTTGCCATCGCGTGCCAAAAGCGGGGGGAGCACGGGGGGAGTCGTGCATGCCCACACCCATAATTATATGTGCCCCGAACATGTGCACGTGACACCCCCCCGCACTCCCCTTTTTGGCATGCAATGGCATGGTGGGCCTGGTCCTAGAGAGGCTCTGGAGCCTGGAGAGAGCAAAAAACAGGCCTTCCCCACTCCCCCCCAGGCCCTCCGGAGGCAGGAAACAGCCTGTTTCCCTATTGCTGGTGGGGCCAGAAGGCCTGAAAATCAGCTGGCTGGTGTGCGCATGCATGCTGGAGCTGAGCTCGTGTGCCCACCGATATGGCCCCGTGTGCCACCTGTGGCATGTGTGCCATAGGTTTGCCATCATGGTTCTAAGGTTTTTTAAACTTTGTAAAACTTTTTTTTTGTTAGATAACATTTTTCTATCTGAAAATGTTTTTTTTTTAATGAAAATCTATGCCTTAATCAAAGAGCAGAATTCTGGGCTACAGAATTTCTAGGTAATAATAAATATCAGTACTGAATCTTTATATTTGCCAGGTTAGGAGAGGAAGTGGTAAATGCAGTATTTCTCCTGTATTGCAGCCCACCAGTCCTGCTTTATGTCACTGTTCCTTTCATGTTGGGGAGAGGGCAAGTTTGCAAGCCTATGAGAAGAAGAGAGTTACAGGACTACAGCCTGCCAGCCCTAACCATCTACAAAGACACATTTCAAGTTTATTTGAAGCCAGCAAATAAATACATAAATAAATTTGCAGTTTTTCTCACGGTGACCGCAAAATAAATAATGCAGGGAAGTATCCCAATTCCGTTTCAGCTTTGCATTGAACTATTGCATACCCGGTTCCTGCTGTAAACTTCCATAGAAAATAGGCTGCAGAGACTGGAAGGCTTCTGCTCATTTTCAACCATTCCTTTATTGGCACAGTTTTCTTCAGAAGAAATTAAATAAGAGAAAGCTTCTTTCAACAAGAAGCTGATTGTTCTTTATAATTAATTCAATTTACTAGGTGGTTCTAAATTCTAAATTGAGCCGCTCATTGGTTCATTGCTCTTTGCCATGGTTGTTGGCTCTGTCTTTGAGTTCTCTGTACCTCCCCCTGGAAATCCTTGAAGGCAGATAATCTGTCAATTAATCAAAATACAGAAGATGCAGACATCCCGGATAACCTTGGCAAACACTAAGGAACTGGTGAGTAGATGGGTTTCCTGGAACCTCTTAAGATAAGGGAAGGAATCTTAATCACCACATATGCTTCAGATGGTCGCTTCTCAGGAGGAAAATGCAGGACAACAGTTTTCCAAAAATTTGAGCACTAGCAGACAATGGGATCATCTTGCCTGCAACCACAGCAGAGACTTTTAAAGGACATTAAGTTCACACACCTCATTTTCTAATTACTTTTGGGAAATTGCTTATTAGCTACTTCTAAGCTACTAGAGATCTTTGGAACAACAGGGTAGAAAAGTGTTCATTGGGTGAGTTTATCTTCTACTCTGAACAAAAGAAAAATTAATTACAAACTGAAGAACTTAAATAATTTGAAATAAACAGCAAAAAGCTAAATGGCATTTTTATCTAAGAAGTTATAACAAAATAATGGGTCAAGATAAATTTTGAATATTGACTTTTACTATAAGATTTTGGAATTAATTATAAAAAATAAATAGCTTCTTGTGGGAAACAGAGTTATTTTGGTTATTTGACAAATTGCACATTGTAACAAAAGAGAAGTGATAATTTTAGAAACTGAACACTAGATGAGGCTAAAGATTTTAAACAGAAGAAAAAAATGACAGCCTGATGTTTGCTAATACTGGGATTTAGAGAATGATACAAAACATTATGTCAGAAATATTAAAGAGATCTTTTAAGAATGGAATTAGTGGTTAGTATGTACAATATCAGCGCTGCCAGTAATGATGTCTGCTTCTATGATAGATTATGTCTAAAAATGGTAATGAAGGAATGATAGATATGAAACAATTTTTTTCTGATAAGATAGACAAAGTATAGAATATGGAACTACAAATGACAGGACAAAAGAATGATTTGAAAAAGGATACTTTACTGGATATACAAAAGAAACAGGCTAATTTTTTCAAAATTAAAAGGGAAATATAAATGACTGACCTGGAAAATATTTTCTTATTGAATCTACAAAAATGGTTTATTAAAGGCTTGAAGAAATCTCTCTGAGGATATGAAGAACTGAAGAGAAATCAAATCCTACAACAATGGTATGATTGTTAGATATAAAAGGAAGGAATAGAAAAAGGGTTTATTTGATCAAGGTTAAAATAAGACATTTTGTTGCAATGTTCTGGCAACCCTATACAGACTTTTTGCTGATAGCAGGATTGAAAAGTTGATGTTCTCTCTTCTTGTTCCAAGTTTAATTTTATATTGGTTTTTACTACTGTAATTAAAATACTTAATAACGTATCGTGTCATCAATAACTATTCTTGAACTTAATGAAACAACTGTGCCATGTGTGCATTGTCAGCCTAGAAAACAATATCTTGTCTTCCAGATTTACACATGTATGAGTTTACATATGTGGGAACAGTGTAATATTTTGTTAGAAGATTCATTTCATTTTGTCTGTAGTCATGCCCTAACTTATTTCCCACCATTGGGAAATCATATATTCATGCAGTTGTAGATACTATAAGCACGCATTTAAAAGGAATAATATGGATAAGACAAAAAGGAAAATATGGACAGACATACCTTTGTGCTGTCCAAGGGATCTTTATGGCCAAATGCTTGAACAAATTCTTCAGGACCAATATGACTCAGTCTTTCCTTTTGCAGTAGATATGAGAGAATAAAAGAACACCCCTGAGAATCAAGTGCATTGATTATTTACAGTCCCTAAAGTACCACCATCTAGAACTGGGAGCGGATTTTAAAAGTGATTTATCACCATTGGCTGATTGGCTTCTTCTGGTTTAATCACTATAAGTAACACTTATGGGCAAGCTCGGGTTAAAATAGGGGCTAACTGTGTGGCAGCCCCGGTCCTCAGTCCAAGTGTGTCAGGTCTATCTGGTGGTATATCATGTTTTTCTATATCACACTTCTTTATAATACTTTCTGTATCACTATAGAAATGTTATATATGTGAATTCAGGGTAGGAAATTTCCCAGAACCAGAAAAGAACCTAATATCCCATATATTAGGATATTGATGAATAATGACATAAAGAACCATAGAAATATGTTATATATTAGTGTAGTGGTTAAGTCTAGAAACTGGGATACCAAAATTCTAGTCCTGTCTGAGGCACAAAACCAACCTTTGGCCAATCACTCCAATCAGCCCTAGGAAGCAGGCAATGGCAAACCACTTGTGAAAAGAACTGCAGAGACTAGCCCAGGCAAAACTGACTCAAAGGCACAAAAACAAATAAACATAAAAGCAGGGAAGGTTAAGGGCTTAAGTAGATTGGCTTCTTTTAAGTTTAAGATCGTCTTAATACTTTTGAGCTTAAGGTATTTCATATGTACAGTGGATATAGAACGTCTACACACCCATATTAAAATGCCATTTTTTTTAAGATGTAAAAAAAAATCAGACCAAGTTAAATCCCTTCAGAATTTTTTCCACTTTTAATATAACACATAAGCTGTACAATTCAACTGAAAAACAAACTGAAATCTTTTAGAGCAGTGGTCCCCAACCTTTTTATCGCCGCGGCCCGCTGAGCGCGCGCAGGGGTGGGGGCACGGCCCAGGAGCTTTTGCGCATGGCCCATTGCGCACGGCCCAGGAGCCTTTGCGCTGCAGCATTCATGTCCCCCGGCCGCTGCGCGGCCCGGTGCCAGGTACTCCACGGCCCGGCACCGGTCCACGGACCGGGGGTTGGGGACCACTGTTTTAGAGGGAAAATAATATGCATTAATTAATTTAGCAAAAAGCTACTGGTCTGTTGACAATGTTCAGGGTCATGTCTGCCCTTCAAAATTTATATAACATCACCACAATGTAATCTTTTGTCTAGCTCTCTCAAGAAGAAAGTTAGAAAGGACAAATGTACAGAAACGTGAATTGGTGTTTCTGGCAGCAACAAGGAACAAATTAATTTAAAAAAGGAAATGCTTCAGGTCCAAATAAAAAAAGATTAAAGGGGAGATGCAAGCTCAGAAATTTAATCTATTTTTTTTAAAAAAAAGCAAATATAAATGAAAAGTGTTTTCTCACAACCTTTTCCCATTAAAATCCCACCTTTCCCCATTGGGAACTTGTTACTTTTAATCAGCAACTATGGGTTAATCATCTACAAGAACCCATCTTTATGTATTTTTCTGCAAACATTTAAATACATAATAGAAACAATTAAAAATAAACTGTGATACATGATTTAATTTTTCACACTCCAAACTGCATCAGTTGGTATCCAGGACAACCTGACTATCAGCCATCAGATGATCTAGTCTAAACCATCTTGACCCCTTTATTGGAAATGAATTGGATTGTCTCTTAAGGAAAAAGGCAGGAAGAGTGGCCACAATTGTTCCTTCCTGGCTCCTGTCTTCCTAGTTTTTTTGCTGATAGAATTCAGAGAATATTAGTAATGCAGATGGATTTCCTCTGATATTGCAATATTTGAATTCTTATAAATGAGGTGGATCCCACTGTCAATAAATGAGCCCTCCTGGATGGCAGTCAAACAGAATGACAATGCAGTTGACTCAAATATTCATACGTTTTAGAAGTCTCAATAAGAATTTTTCAGATTTTTTTCAGATTTTTTCCTCTATAAATAACCAGGAGACGAAACCAAGTATTTATTATCCACTTACCAGTTCTACATGAGTTAGCTGTTGGGCCAAAGTATATGGATCACTGCAGACATTCAACATTTCTCTTTGGATGGAGGGAGGTTTACTTTTAAAAGCTACCACTTTATCTGAAATAGCTGCACTGATCTTGACTATCCCTTCCTGGCCATGGTTAAGACTTGCAAGCTTCTGATTCAAGGTTTGTAGAAGCTGGTTCATTTTTTTCCAATAAGCCTGATGTGAAGAAAAGGAGGAAAGGGACAATTACACACTCTAAGTAAAACATTTTTAAATGTTGGGGAACGAATCTTTTGAATCAATGTTTCTATTCAAGAATGGAATGATCAGACATAGATTAGAATAATTTTACTTCCAACCATCTATTCTAGAATATCCAGTCAATTTAATTATAGTTCCACCCTACGTTCCATCTTATAGTTGTCCACCACAAGACTAACGTCTAGCCAGAACATTTGTGCATTTGTGCTCAATGCCAATTGAGCTCACTGACCACATAGGTTAACATACCGTATTTTTCAGAATATAAGACGCACCGGAGTATAAGACACAGCTTAGTTTTGGGGGAGGAAGATGGGGGGAGAAAAATCTGCCTACAAGGTATTTATCTGGCTACTGTCCTTGGTCTGGTCAGCTTCAGCACATTAGTTTGCTGGTTTTTATCCCCTGCTTGGGGATAAAAAACAGCTTCTAAAGCACAAATGATCTTTGGAGAGAGAAGCAATGAGAAAAGCAGATAAAGCATGGAGATCGGTTCACTTGCTAGCACCTCGTTAGAGCTGAAATAAGCTTCACAGCTGAGAGTTGGAGGGAGAAGGCAAAGTGCTTCACTCACTAGTGCCTCGTTAGGGCTGAAAAAAAGCTTTGAAAAAGCTACATTCGGAGTATAAGATGCACCCAAATTATCAGCCTCTTTTAGGAGGGAAAAAAGTGTGTGTTATACTCCGAAAAATACAGTAGCTTCCACCCCCAATATCCTCTGTTTTACCAATCTCATGAGTCCTTCTCATTTTAAAAATCTCTTAAATATGGACTGTTGATCATTTGAAACACATGTAGAATATCTTATGCAAGAAATGCCAGTGAAATACTATCATTTAGATTGTCATGGCTGATTTATATGTTTCACACAGAGACCTCAGTATTCCAAATACAAATACTTACATCTGTAAAACATCCCATAATGTTGGCAACTGTGCCATTTTGAATCATTTTACCTCATATACCGCTTATGATGTTCATTCAATGTAGCGTTGTACTGACATGACCAAAACATCTACAACACTTCTCTTAAATTACTTGTCCTATCACTTATGGCACCATGGTATTGAAGCTGCTCTCAGTTATCAGGAAATTATTTTGAAAACAAAGATGAAACAGATCACAGGTGGTATGGGTTACCCGTTATTTAGTGAGATGTTCAAATTAATCTAATACAGCAGTTGCTCCCAATGAAGCAAAAACAACAAAAGCCCCCAAATTAATTGAGGTTAATTCTATCAATATGGGTTTTTAAGATGTGCTGAAGTTCAGAATACAAAATGACGCAGCAATTCTGTTCTGAATAGGCTGTTGATTATAGATGTAAGTATGCCCAATATTTTGAAAAGATTGGATGGGGATAATAGCTATCCGGACTAAACAAACAAATGAAATTTTTGTGGTTTGGAAATCAACCTCATATTGAGAAATACACAGACCCATTTTTTCAGTAATTTCTTCATGCATTCCATCTCTTTAGCAGGATGTCTTTGATCTGTCCTTTAACTGATTTTAATCTATAGATCTGCATTACAAAAATCTGGAAGATGCATAGGGTGTAAAAAATGTGATCAGCCATTTGTTTACTTATTGAATTATACGCCAGCCTTAAAGATATGGAGAACTACAAACCTGTTATAGAAATTGGCATCTGAGAAGATACATTATTGACTATAGCTATAGTTTTACTATCTGTCTGCCTGCCTGTCTGCCAAGAAAATTCAATAATTGCCAACATATAAATTATGTAAAGGTTTACTGCCCCAAAGCTATTTCATTGAAATGAGGCTGATCAAAGTGTTTACATTATACTCATCAACGGTAAAATTAATCAAGGTGATTGAAAAATCTGAACTGCAAGGAAAAGGAATCATGTAAAGCTTCTAAATGACCTATAATGACAAGACTAAACAATGGGTGGACTCTTAAAACTTATTTAATACTGGCCTGTGTACATTTACAGTCTCCTGTATTCTCCATAAACTTCTGAAGGATGTTTAACAAGATTTGAGAGTTGGAAGGGAAGGCACTGATAGGAAAATTCACTTCTGAAGCAGTGGCTCATACAGCTATGCTCTGAGCCTTCTTATTAAAGTGGACATGAGTCACTGTGGAGCAATTGATACAGAAGCCATCAGCCAGGTCAATGTAACTAGTGAGGCAGGTCACAGACAGAAAAAACCTCTGTGGATTATGTCATCTAACCATATGACTAAGAAGAACACAGGAAAATACTACCACAGGCATTCTGCAGACATGAACTGCCGATGCTCTGGATGGCTGCAAATGGGTACAGGGGTGGGATCCTACTGGCTGAACAACTCTTTTGCTGAGTGTGTGCTTTGTGTGTGCTGTGCACACATGCACAGTTTCCTTAAAATTGTACTTTCATGTTGCAAACAAGGAAAGGAGCAAGGAAAACAGCTGAGGAGGCCCAATTCAATCTGCCACGCCTGATCAGCTGTGCTCCAGAAGAACAAATAAAGGTCAGTATAACCCGGAGGTGGGTGGGCAGGCCATTCTCACAGCAACAGAGAACCAGTTCGCTCTCGGCAGGAAGTGTGAACAACCGGTTTCCCCAAACCGGTCCGAACCAGTAGAATCCCACCACTGAATGGGTAACTGTGGATGGCTCATCACAACTTCCAGAAACACGTAATGAGGCCAGCAGTCTTGATGTTCTACTGGAAATGTAATGAAACCTCCTGGCTCCCAGAGTTTGTTTTTACTAAAGATCCCAGTTGGAGTGGTAACTAACATAGTTTTGAGCAACGAGGGTCAGTTCAGAAACTATTTCTAGTTATTTCTTCCCCTGAGACGGCCCATGAAAAAACCCTGCCATACTTTCCCACCCTGAACTCTATAGGGCATGGGTCAAACTCACGGCATCATGTTGCCGTTACATGACATTTTGTGATGTTTTTCCCCTTCATGGAGCTGGGGTGGGCATGGCCTGCATGTGACTCATCCGGCCTGTGGGCTGCCAGTTTGACACCCCTTCTATAGGGTGTTATATTATTACTGTTGTTAGCTGCACTTCCAGCCAAACATTTTGACTGGGTTTGGCATTTTTGTCCGAAGGACCTGGGATAGGCAGATGTTGTTGCTTAATAATAAAGAGATTATTGCGGGATGTAAGCAGTTCCAAGTAAAGCTGCCTTTTGCAACTGACTGGTGGTGATTTTGTCAATGCCAATGGTGTTTGAGTGATGTTTCAGATGCTTTAGAATTGCACTATTTTTATTGGTACTATCTTTGCATTTTTTTGCCACAGTCATTCTTCTTGCAGGTTCTTATATTTTGTGATTTTCTCAGTTCTTTTTCTTCGATTCTGTCTCCAAGGATTGAAACATCCGCTTTCCAGACATTGTCGTCTTTTTTAACAATAGTTAAGTCTGCAGTGTTGTTTCGCAGGTGCTTGTCTGTTTGAATTCTAAAGTCCCAGAGCATTTTAACATATTCATTTTCCTATTACCTTTTTTATTTTGTGGTTCAGGAATAGATCTTATTTGTAAGTACCATATTTTCTGGCGTATACGACGACTGGGCGTATAAGATGACCCCCGACTTTTCCTGTTAAAATATAGGGTTTGGGCTATACTCGCCGTATAAGACTATCCCTCTTCCAACGCACACTAAATAAAAATTAAAAAACATCAACTGGCTCACCCACAATGTAAAAGCAGCTGTGCTAGACCCCAAATGGCCCCTGCAACAAGCAGGAACCTCACACAGCCACAAAAAGCCCCCCAAAACAACTTTCACACTTTACACCCACACAACACAACACAACTGGCTCACTCACAATGTAAAAGCAGCTGTGCTAGACCCAAAATGGCCCCTGCAACAAGCAGGAACCTCACACAGCCACAAAAAGGCCAAAAAAACAACTTTCACACTTTACACACACAAAATTCCACATACAGCTTTGTGAGATTTTGTGTGTTTGTGTAGTAAGAGTGAAACACTACAGAAACACACTAAATCTCAGAAAGCTGCACAAATATTATTTTATTTTATTTTTATTTTTATAAGAAAGATAAATTTAAAACTTCCTAAACTTTAAATGGCTAGGTCTAAAAAAGAACAACTAAAAAAACCCCAATTAACTATTTTTTTTAAAGCTCCCAAAGGGGAAAAAAACTTACCCAATAGAACAGGGGTGTCCAACCTTGGCAACTTTAAGACTTGTAGGCTTCAACTCCCAGAATTCCTCAGCCAGCTTTGCTTTGCTGGCTGAGGAATTCTGGGAGTTGAAGTCCACAACTCCCTGCCTGCTTGATTGCAGGCAGGGAGTTGCTTGCTGATGGAATGGATTCAGGCAAGCGAAGCAAGGCAAGCGTTGCGACTAGCAGCTAAGGTAAGCAAGCTGGAGGGGGAAAACTGTTTTTCCTTTTACATGGCTCTGGCGATCCCAGCTGAGTTGCCTGATTAGCAGGCAACTCAGCTGGGATGGTCAGATCTTGGCTCGTCAGAGCCTTTCGGGCTGGTCTGCCTGGTTACAGGAGAACGACACCCGGCGTATAAGACGACCCCCGACTTTTGAGAAGATTTTCATGTGTTAAAAAGTCGTTTTATACGGCAGAAAATACAGTACCAGTATTTCTTGCATATATTCCAATGTTCCATTGTTGCTACTTTGTCATGTTTCTGTTTGTAGACAGTCTGTGTGATCTTCTTGTGGCAGCAAACTGGGTGGTCCAATGTTTCTTCAGCTTCTTTGCAGAGATGGCATTTGCTGTCTGTTGCTGACTTCTCTGCTCTGGTGTGATATGCATTTACTCTTAAGGCTTCATTTTTGTGCAGACAGAATTGGCTCCTTTGGTGCTATGTCTTTCTTATTGACAATGGTTAAGTATGAGGTATTATGATTATACATTTAATGAATCTACAGTAGGTATCCTCAGATCTAAAACCGATGGCCTCTTAAATTTGTATTAGAGTTTACATTAAAT